ACTCGAACTGGAGAGAACGTGTCGTTTTTCAACTTGTTTCTGTGAGGATTTCTACTTCAAGATGAGAATTGTTCACAGTTTTACCTATCGGTTTACTGTTTAAAGACACATATACGAATACTCTCATGAATATGCAGGGGTGATAAAAGTTGCTCCCAATGTTCTTTTGGTGAAATGCTATTTTTGTTAATCAACATTGGCTATTTTGTTAATGTCATTAATTATTGTCAAAGTCAAGCGATTCACAATTCATAAATTTGATTAATGAAAATTCAACGTGAAGGATTTGACTCCTATACTGATGTGGCGAGGGCTGTAGCATTATTTGAAAATGACCAGTGGGCCAATGTTCTTTTAACATATGAGAGCCGCATCTGCACCAATTCAATAGATGGCAGGGAAAGACTATATCGCCGAGGTGAACAAAATGAACAATTTGATTTTACTGTCAAGTTAGTCAAGAAACGACACATTTTCAGATCCAATTTGAGTTTTGAGGTGTAAAATTGATACCAATATCCACCTTTCCTTTGAAACTCTGTATTTTCTTGAATAATTGAGATATCAAGATGAATAAAAAACGAAAATATTCGGAATAGATTGGGCTCCAATTTGGTGTTGAAAAATAGTTTCAATTGTCAGTGGTTCAGTCCACAGGATGTTTAAAAAAATACCGAAAAATCCGTACTTTCTTTACACCCCTGTATATGATGGAAATACTCATCGTTCGAAGGTAATCATTCCTCAGATGTATTCGTGAAGAATGAAGCTACATTTCGTGAAGAAAAGAATTTGAATCGAGCGATCGATTCGAAAGAAAATTGATGTTAAACTTAGTGTAAATTTTGCCCGTTTCCCTAATTGTGCCAGTGTGTGTATTTTGCGATAGTATCAATTATTTTTCACTATCGTTATATTACAGTATGTTATTCATCACTTGTTAGTCAATTTTTTGCTAATGAGTTTGTCCCTTGATAAAACGGATCTATTCTCTAGGAAAGTTGCAGATTATATCTTGCAACAGCGCCTAATACTTCGAGTCCGCCCACACCACTCAAAATACTGACAGGCACAACGAGAGGAAGGAGCCATGGGTGTCGGCTTCATTCTGTTCTGACGATGGCAATAAATTAGGAAAGATAGTATAATTGAATGTAGCCGATAGTGATTCATTGATTCATTCAATATTTCAATGCATAAATAACAGAACCATAACCTGTCAGAATGAATCCAACTACCTTCTGTATTCCGTATTCCTGCTCCGAGTGCATTCGTAGTTATGTATGTTTCTGTTTATCAGTTTTCCTTCTTCTATTTTTTCATTCGTTAGCTATCCGCTAGCTATATTCTGCACCATCAGCTATTTTCAGACTAGATTCAGAATGTACGTCACAGTTTGCCGCTCCGAAAATCAGAAATTCAATTTGAAAATGAAAACGACTTGGACTTTATCGGTCGCCATTCTGTACAGCGTGGACATGAAACTGGAGAGTTCCGAACTTATTTGATGAAAATTCATCTGGAGGAAACTTCCCCATTAATTTTGGTGCTTCTCTATTGTTTATAATGTATCAGGATTATCATCATGTTTTGCAATAATGTTCTACCTCATCTGTGTTGAGTTATTGACTATAATAATCTAGTTTATGAATATGGAAAGTGTGGTCAATAAATCAACACAAATGAGGTTGAATTTTGCAAAATATGCATGATATAGGTGATCCTGACATAATAAACAAGTATGGAGAAACATCAAAAAGAGTTTTGTTAGAAATCTGGAAATCTATACGAAGAAACATGAAAAACTGCAGTAAAAATTCATGGAACGTGGTTCTCGGACACCTTGTATAACATAATTCCTATAAACGCGCACACTTCTTCGTTTGTATTCAATTCACTATTGAACAAAAATAATAAGCTATGATTTTTGTCATCGAAGTTTCCCTCGAAGTTTCCATATTATGACTGTGCTTTAGTCAGCTTTAGTATGAATTGCACGGCACTCTAAGAAGAGAATAGCGATCGTAGAAGGAACTTTTATTGTTCCTACTGGTTCCTCCCAACCAAAGATTGTTAACTCAACAGATTGTTCCACCCAGTCGTGACACTCGTGACCAATCAAAAGGGTGAACAAGACGTCACACCTAATATATTGATTGTTATTATTTTGTCAAGAATTCCCAACCTCAAATTTTGTTTTCAACTTATAAGGAATATTTTTCTATATAAATTATCTCATTTTATTGAAATGAATGCAGTTATTCCACAGACTATGGATATTCTTTCTCACATAGGAGGAAACCAGTCTTGATTATTGGATACACATTCTGGCAGCGATTGCGTTTGCAGATTCTAAAAAGGTCAAAAAATATCTCTTCGTCAGACCAAGTCGTTGCAATATTCCGTCATCAACACTCATCAGGATCTTCATAGTCCGTTGAATATCTGCATTGATTCCAATCGAGATTTCAATAAAACAATGTTAGTTTGAAAATTCTCGAAAGAATGACAATCAATGGTAGGCGTGACGTCATGTCGTTCATTTTTTGAAGTGATAACTTCTATAGGCCCGTTAGGCACTTTCTGGGATGGGAGTGAAGCGGCATACTCGCGTCACGGAAGCGCGCGTACCAGTGTATATATGTCTGGTTGACATGCGACAGCGGCTGCACCTGCACCTTCAGTATTCCAGTGTACAGCGAGGCAGAGACAGTGTAGTCGTCAGCTCTGACCTGACATGCATAGAAGTCGTGGATAGTCTAATGATATTATGGTTCCTCTCGAATTACAAAAACATCCTTCACATTATTTAAAATAGATAGGGTGAGAAATAAATACTTATGACAAGATCCAATTTGAAATTCTTTATTCCTGGAATTTCTCCATCAATATTTTTAGTTTTAGTTCATCCTTCTCGCAAGTACGTGAAAATCTGATAAATAAAATTCTTTTTTCACGGTGTTTGTTCCCAAAGTCCTCCGAAATGGCTTGACTGATTGCTATAAAAATTGTTGTAGTAGGTCTGAGAATCGGTCGTGAACCATTTTTTTGAAGCTTGTCTTCCCTTATTGTCCAAAAGATACTGAAAATACTGATGACCAGCCATAGAAGTTATCATGATTGTGATCCTATACGCACACAAGTTTTTTTTGATTGGTTACGAACGGATCAACCATCTTGTTGAGTCAACAGTGGGAAAGAGTCCAACACGGCTATTGTCCTTGAGCTGACCAATCACACTGCAACACTGCAGAATAGCAAGAAGGTATCAGAAAGAGATAGCAACAGTTCGGGACTGATACGTCCCGCTTTTCTTCATATCTGATGGCTTTTTGAAATATCGAATGGAATATGCTGATTTCAAAACGCTATAGATCGTTACCACCGATACAACAAGGCCTGCATGCTCCGTGGGTGACGTCACTTAGTGAGGCCTAACCAGCGGCTCGAAACGACAAGCGCTTATATAGCGCTATAAGGCGACCGCGTATTTCGATTTTAGTTTTAGATCATCATTGAGCCGATTTTGCTGTTTTTTGAAGGGCTTCCGGTTAAAAAAGGATGCCAGTCGTCAACTGAGCCCTTCTTCGCACCCCATTCGATTTTATTATTGAAAAACGAAGTTTTAAAGCAAAAACCAGGATAAAACACACATATCCACCTACAGCAACCCATTCGAATTAAATATATTGGCAAAAATTGTGGTGAAGGTAAACTTCACACCTACTTATACAGGGCCCGCAGAACATAAACTTATCGTGAGATTGATCGAAAGAAAATTGTGGAAAATGTATATTTTATTTTGATTGACATGCCGTTTGTTACAATTACCTATATTTATCTTGGAGAATTCCTATTACCTGAAAAAATAACCAGTGAGTGTTTTCAATTTTCTGTTGTTGGATTTTTCACCCAAGTGGATCGTTACACTTGAAACCGTAATTTTTAAGGGTAAAACTGCATTTATCATGCGATGGTTTTTTTTTTTTTGAAAATGTTTTTCGGTACTCACGTAATTTTGTCTGATAAACCGAATTTTATAATGAAAATGTGAACAAACCACTATTCATTGAGATATTTCAAGAAAAAGTTCGAAATTTCGCCTTCTTTCACCCCTTGTGTTGGGGGCATTTGAAGCTACTTGCTCTTATTTTGTCATTGGACACTTTATATACTCATGATGTACTTCGATGGCACATTTTTATATAGAAAATTCAACAGGAAATATGATTTTCATGGCGAGTTTTTCATATTTAGTGAACAAGCATTCCAGATGACGACCATTTAATCAATAGTCAATCAAAATACGAGATGTCAAATGTCAATAGATTGCTTTCAAAGGACATTACACACGCCATCATTTTGAATGATATTCCTTCTTTTCACTAAATATGAACTTTTGAACCACCCACATAATTCCCCCGACAAAAGGGAAGACAACACTTGAAAGGCATTGTCATTTCGCCGATCACAACACAAAATATTTCACAAAACAGTAATTTTTCCGCCAATTATTTTGATGAATAAACGACAAAAGAATTCGGGACCGTTTCAAAAACATACGTGAATCACCGATGAATCAACACGAACTGACGCGTTAGTCGACAAGCGATAAAATAAAACACTGGCCTCTCTTGGTGACGTCACGAGCTGTTTACGTCAGAGTCTGCTGGCCGTGTTGTATCGGTGGTAACGTATAGATTCGATCCCCTTCAACTCCAACTGATGATTCATCGATTGAACGAGGTTTAGACGGATTTCATCCCTCAGTGGTCTTCCCCATTTTTGATCCTTGTGTTCTACTCTTCGAAGCCAAAGCGGTTATAATCGTGTCAACATATCGTCGGTGCTCGCCCTAGATCTATAGAATCTTCTTCAGTATTCATCCTGGAAATAGGTATAATAAATCCAAGCACAAGCGATCGATAGGATCTGTTGCGCCGCTAGGGACATAGACGAAGTGCGGCCCGCGTCCCCAAAGACATGCTCGCATTACTATAATGCTGACTTTGTTGTTCCTGATATGGTCGCTGATTCGTGGTTTAAGGAACCGCGCTCAGAAACCGCTCATGTCTCCCCCCGGCAGTCCTATAGCGGAACGCACCCCCACCCCTAGTCCGGAGCCCACGTGCTCGCTTTCCCCCACTCCGTCGCCGGAGCCGGAGATACTCAGCGAACTTTCCAACACGAGGATTTCGACGGACAGTTATCGCACTAGGTATTTTTTGTTTGGAGGGGGTATGTGGTCGTCGGTGCGGTTGTTCGCGATGAGCGTGGTGATCCCTGTGGTATTGGCGCAAAATATCTAAAGTTCGGCCACATTAGTCTACTAACCAGTAGTATCTACCGATAGTGTCTAAAAAATCAGAAATCTGTCATTTTGAAAATGAAAAAATGTCTGGCTGGATTTATTTTGTCGAAAATCACGTAACGTAGATGAAAGGACAGGATCATTATGTCTACTGATTTTGTCGCATCCATTTCACCCCTATTTCACCCCGATAATGGCTAAAAAATCAGAAATCTATCATTTTGAAAATGAAAAAATGTCTTGCTATAGATTTTTTTTGTCAAAAAACACGTAACGTAGACGAATGAAGAGATTCATCATGTCTACTGATTTTGTCGCATCTATTTCACCCCTATTTCACCCCGATAATGTCTAAAAAATCAGAAATCTGCGGAAATCTGTCATTTTGGGAATGAAAAAATGTCTTGCTGGATTTATTTTGTCGAAAATCACGTAACGTAGACGAAAGGAGAGAATCATTATGTCTACAGATTTTGTCGCATTCATTTCACCAGATTTCACCCCTATTTCACCCCGATAATGGCTGAATCAGAAATCTGTCATTTTGAAAAAGATAAAAATGTCTTGCTATCAATTCTTTTCGTCGAAAAACACGTTACGTAGACGAAAGAAGAGATTCATTATATCCACTGATTTTGTCGCTTCCATTGCACCCCAATTTCACCCCGAAAATGACTACAAAATCAGAAATCTGTCATTTTCATAAAGAAAAAATGTCTTGCTATGGATTTTTTTGTCAAAAAACACGTAACGTAGACGAAAGAAGAGATTCATCATGTCTACTGATTTTGTCGCATCCATTTCACTCCTATTTCACCCCCATATTCACTAGAACATCAGAAATCTGTCATTTTCAAAACAAGAAAAATGTCTTGCTATGGATTTTTTCTGTCGAAAAACACGTAACGTGAACGATAGAAGATATTCATCATGTCCACTGATTTTGTCGTATCCATTTCACCCCAATTTCAACCTGATAATGTCTAAAGAATCAGAAATCTGTCATTTTGAAAATGAAAAAATGTCTTGCTGGATTTATCTTGTCGAAAATCACGTAACGTAGACGAAAGGAGAGAATCATCATGTCTACTGATTTTCTCGTCTTTGTATTCGTTATTTCTGTCATTTTGAAAATGAAAAATCTTCTAGCTATGGATTTTTTGTGTCGCAAAACACGTAACGTAGACGAAAGGAGAGAATCATTATGTCTACAGATTTTGTCGCATTCATTTCACCAGATTTCACCCCTATTTCACCCCGATAATGGCTGAATCAGAAATCTGTCATTTTGAAAAAGATAAAAATGTCTTGCTATCAATTCTTTTCGTCGAAAAACACGTTACGTAGACGAAAGAAGAGATTCATTATATCCACTGATTTTGTCGCTTCCATTGCACCCCAATTTCACCCCGAAAATGACTACAAAATCAGAAATCTGTCATTTTCATAAAGAAAAAATGTCTTGCTATGGATTTTTTTGTCAAAAAACACGTAACGCAGACGAAAGAAGAGATTCATCATGTCTACTTATTTTGTCGCATCCATTTCACTCCTATTTCACCCCCATATTCACTAGAACATCAGAAATCTGTCATTTTCAAAACAAGAAAAATGTCTTGCTATGGATTTTTTCTGTCGAAAAACACGTAACGTGAACGATAGAAGATATTCATCATGTCCACTGATTTTGTCGTATCCATTTCACCCCAATTTCAACCTGATAATGTCTAAAGAATCAGAAATCTGTCATTTTGAAAATGAAAAAATGTCTTGCTGGATTTATCTTGTCGAAAATCACGTAACGTAGACGAAAGGAGAGAATCATCATGTCTACTGATTTTCTCGTCTTTGTATTCGTTATTTCTGTCATTTTGAAAATGAAAAATCTTCTAGCTATGGATTTTTTGTGTCGCAAAACACGTAACGTAGACGGAAAGAGAGAATCATTATGTCTACTGATTTTCTCGCATCCATTTCACCCCTATTCCACCCCGAAAATGGCTGAAAATCAGACGTCTGTCATTTTCATAAGGAAAAAATGTCTTTGTATTCGTTATTTCCATCAAAAAACACGTAACGCAGACGAAAGAAGATATTCATCATGTCCACTGATTTTATCGTATCCATTTCACCCCTATTTCACCCCGATAATGTCTAAAGAATCAGAAATCTATCATTTTGAAAATGAAAAAATTTCTTGCTATATATTTTTTGTGTCGAAAATCACGTAACGTAGACGAAAAGAGAGAATCACTATGTCTGCTTATTTTGTCGCATTCATTTAACCCCTATTTCACCCCGATAATGCCAAAAAAATCTGAAATCTGTTATTTCGAAAATGAAAAAATGTCTTGTTGGATTTATTTTGTCGAAAATCACGTAACGTAGACGAAAGGAGGGAATTATTATGTATACTGATTTTGTCGCATCCATTTCACCCCTATTTCACCCCGATAATGGCTGAAAAATCAGAATTCTGTCATTTTCATAAAGAAAAAATGTCTTGCTATAGATTTTTTTTGTCAAAAAACATGTAACGTAGACGAATGAAGAGATTCATCATGTCTACTGATTTTGTCGCATCCATTTCACCCCTATTTCACCCCGATAATGTCTAAAAAATCAGAAATCTGCGGAAATCTGTCATTTTGAGAATGAAAAAATGTCTTGCTGGATTTATTTTGTCGAAAATCACGTAACGTAGACGAAAGGAGAGAATCATTATGTCTACTGATTTTGTCGCATTCATTTCACCCGATTTCACCCCTATTTCACCCCGATAATGGCTACTGCAAAATCAGAAATCTGTCATTTTGAAAAAGGAAAAATGTCTTGCTATCAATTTTTTTCGTCGAAAAACACGTAACGTAGACGAAAGAAGAGATTCATTATGTCCACTGATTTTGTCGCATCCATTACACCCCAATTTCACCCCGAAAATGGCTAAAAAATCAGAAATCTGTCATTTTCATGAAGAAAAAATGTTTTGCTATGGATTTTTTTCATCAAAAAACAAAAAACGCAGATGAAAGAAGAGATAAATCATGTCTACTGATTTTGTCGCATCCATTTCACACCTATTTCACCCCGATATTGGCTAAAACATCAGAAATCTGTTATTTTCAGAAAAAAAATATTCTTGCTATGGATTTTTTCTGTCGAAAAACACGTAACGTGAACGATAGAAGATATTCATCATGTCCACTGTTTTTGTCGTATCCATTTCACCCCTATTTCACCCCGATAATGTCTAAAGAATCATCAGAAATCTGTCATTTTCAAAATGAAAAAATTTCTTGCTATAGATTCTTTGTGTAGAAAAGCACGTAACGTAGACGAAAAGATAGAATCACGTTGTCTGCTTATTTTGTCGCATTCATTTAACCCCTATTTCACCCCGATAATGCCAAAAAAATCAGAAATCTGTTATTTCGAAAATGAAAAAATGTCTTGCTGGATTTATTTTGTCGAAAATCACGTAACGTAGACGAAAGGAGGAAATCATTATGTCTACTGATTTTGTCGCATCCATTTCACCCCTACTCCACCCCGATAATGGCTAAAAATCAGAAATCTGTCATTTTGAAAAAGAAAAAATGTCTTGCTATGGATTTTTTTGTCAAAAAACACGTAACGTAGACAAATGAAGAGGTTCATCATGTCTACTGATTTGGTCGCATTTCTTTCACCCCTATTTCACCCCGATAATGTCTAAAAAATCAGAAATCTGTCATTACGAAAATAGAAAAATATCTTGCTATGGATTTTGTCTATAAAAAATTACCTGACGTTGACGAAAGAAGAGATTCATCATGTCTAAAAAGATCCATAGCAAGCAAAATGATAGATTTCTGAGTTTTTAGCCATTATCGGGTTGAAATAGGGGTGAAATGAATGCGACAAACTCAGTAGACATGATGAATCTCTTCTTTCGTCTACGTTACGTGTTTTTTGACAAAAAATCCATAGCAAGACATTTTTTCTTTTTCGAAATGAAAAATGAAAATTATTTTTTTGATTGAAATTCCGAACATTCAATAATGCCTTTTCGTTGTCTCGAGTAAAAGTTCGGCATTTTTTCTGATGAAAAATCACTCCCGTACTAATTTAGAATAAATTCCTAATATTCTGTGTATTCATTCTGTGAAATTAAATTTAGATTTTTGCGACCCCCAAACGTACTGCAAACTGAAATATAATCAGTACCCTGGATTCCTCTTTTATTCAGCTTTCCAATGAGGAGTCGCAAGCCCTAGAGTTGTATATTTGAAGAAAAAACATGTTGTGGTTGATTCCAGCTACCCCTGATGGGTTATATTTTCCATATTGCCCGCTAAATGTAACTGATTACAGTCAAACGTTGACGTGCCTCGCGAATTTATTCCAGTTAAAGTCTCCACCCTGTAGAATACATTTTTGCACTGCTCCTTCACTGACCAAATAACAGATAATAACAAGATAACAGCAAAAAATTTGTATTCAAGATAAACTAGACAAGCCCAGTCAGCACATCCTTTCGTTGTCAACCTCGAAAGATGTCGAACAGCACTTTATCAAGACTCCTTCATCCATAGAAGGCTCTGGAATGCATTGCCTGTGGAAGTATTCCCAACAGCATATAATCTCCAGGAGTTCAAAAAAAATTCCAATACCTAACTCCTGTTCCTATCCTCCCTAGGAACGCACGATGTTCGTTGAACATTATAGGGATTCCCTTTCGTGCGCTCCAAGCGATAAAAACAAAAAAAAGATATTCCGGTGCGGCATCGAACACTATAAAAACCGACATATTTCGACAACGGCTTACTTTCACACGAGTGCCTTTTTTTCTTGCGAATATTTAGAAAACTATTTCCTCAACAGAAAAAGTGAAAAAATACACTGACACAAGTTATGGCCATGAGAAG